AAAAAAAAAAAAAAAGGGGGGGGGGGAACCTCTGCACTTTCATTTCTCAGTCTAGCAGAGGGTAGTGGTTGTCAGGCTTCAGTGGTGCTCAGCCTGTCCCATCCTGTGAATCAGATGGGTAGTATGGGGCCAGATCCTGCATGTGGGGTTGGTCCATAGGCCTGATGTAGGACAGGGCTAGTCAATGGGTATGACCAGGCACATCAGTCCAGCCCCACATACTGCTGTACTACACAATGACGTGGGGTTTCTGAGTCCCGCCACAACTCCCTCAGTGCTGCAAGCTATGTCACCCCATCCATGGTGGTGGAAACAAGCAGTGGAACTGGGAGGGACAAAGAGCCCAGACACCAGTAGCAGCAATTCCAAGTGCAATCTGGCACTTGGAGCCATGTCATCCAGCCCATGAGGCTTCCCAGGAGTCCATACATTTGGTGCTAGGGGAGTGGTGGCAGTGCTACTTGCTGCAGTTCCTGCAGCCACAGCAATTGTTGCCACTACTCACCTGCCACTGCAGGTGGGATTCTGTCACTACTCCCACCACTATATTTCTGGACCTATGGGCTTGATGGCATGCCTTTGCGGGATAGATCTGGCCCTTAGATTCGACGTTGAGCACCCCTGACTTGGATATTAATGGTTTTTTTCATTCCAAGAAGCAAAGTAAACTGATCCTGTGTCTTTCTGTCTCTGCAGTGAGGAAGAGATTAATGAGAAGTGTGGTGATGATGCCATACACTACCTTGCCTTCCAGCGCCACATCATCTGCTTGCTGGTTACTATGAGCATTTTGTCAGTGTGTGTCATATTGCCTGTCAATTTATCTGGTGACTTGCTTGGTAAGAATCTTCCTATATCCTGGGGAGAAGAGTGTGTTCTGTGTCACTGTCAGAATTTAAGGATCCCTCCTATTCTGAAAATATTAAGTCCTCCAGCAAGTAGCAGAATACTGCACAGTTATATAACGTTATTCTTTATCAGTAGCAGGGGGAGACTTGTTTCCTCTGAAGCCTCTAGAAAAGGCTACTTTCAAAAACAGGATAATGGGCTATATGGAATTCTTCCCTCTTCTGATGTGGTAACTATGTGCTGGCTGGTGGGTGGGTGTGTGTGGCTCTCCTTGAACTTCTTGGCAATGTCTGCAGAGGAAGATCAGGGAAAGTGTGGGTCCCTTAGTGGATGGGGGAGGCAACTTGGCAACAGATGATGTGGAAAACACTGAAGTACCCAATGCCTTTTTAAATTAAAAAACAAAAAACATTCAGCCTCCATAGGCAAGGTCGCAGCACAGTTTGGGGTGGAGGTGAGTAGCCAGCAGTGCTGAAAGAACAGGTTAGGGACTATTCAGAAAACCTGGATGTGCACAAATCCATGGGGTGGGATGCGATACACTGAGAGTGCTGAGGGAGTTGACCAATGTGATTTGCAGAGCCTCTAGCCATTATCTTTGAAAACTCATGGTAATCAGGAGAGGTTCTGGATGATTGGAACAGGGTAAATATAGTATCCATTTTCAAGAAAGGGGAGGATTATCCCAGTAACTACAGACCAGTCAGCCTTGCTTCAGTCCCTGGAGAAATCATGGAGACCTGGATTCCTTGAGGATCTGCTTATTACTTGGAGGAGAAGCTGATTAGGAACAGTTAGCAAGTTGTGCCTGACCAAATTGCCTTCTATGATGAGATGACAGGCTCTGTGGATGCGGGGAGAGCAGTGGACTTCCTTGAATTTAGTAAGGCTTTTGTTATGGTCTCCCACAACATTCATGCAAGCAAGCTGAGGACGTCTGGGTTGGATTAATGGACTGTAAGGTAGATAGAAAACTGGCTGCATTGTTGGGCTCAAAGGGGACTTGATGCCTAGTTGGCAGCCAGTATCAAATGGAGTGGCCCAGGGATCGGTTCCGGATCCAGTTTTGTTCAATATCTTCATCAACAATATAGAAGATGAGATGGAGTGCACCCTCAGAAAGTTCGTGGATGACACCAAACTGGGTAGAGCAGTATGCTGGAAGGTAGGGCTAGGATTTGGAGAGACCTCAACAAATTGGAGGGTTGGACCAAAAGGAATTTCATGAAATTCAGTAAGGACAAGTACAGAATTCTGCACTTGACACAGAACAATCCCATGCACTTAGCTGCACAGGCTGGGGACTGACTAAGCAGAAGCTTTGCAGAAAAGGACCTGGGGGTTACAGTAGGCAGTAACAGTAAGCTGAATATGAGCCAACAATGTGCCCTTGTTGCAAAGAAGGCTAACAGCATACTGGGCTGCATTAGTAGGAGCAGTCCCAGCAGTTTGAAGGTAGTGATTCTTCCCCTCTGTTTTGCACTGGTGAGGCCACTTCTAGAGTACTGTCTAGTTTTGACTGCCCCCCCTTGCTCTCTGCCCATTAAAGAAAGGATCTGGATAAATTGAAGAGTCCAGCAGAGGGCAGTGAAAATGGTTAGGAGGCTGGGGCACATGATTTCTGAGGAGATGCTGAGAGAACTGGCTTATTTAGTTTGGAGCAGAGAAGCCTGAGGGAGGATTTAATAACAGCTTTCAACTACTTGAAGGGTGGTTACAAAGGAGATGCAGCTAGCCTGTTCTCAATAGTGGCAGATGACAGAGCAAGGAGCAATGGGCTCAAGTTGCAGCAGGGGAAGCTTAAGTTGGGTATAAGGGAAAACTTTCTCACTAGGAGATTAAGTAACCTGTCCCAGTATTTCACCAGAGAAGTGGTGGAATCTCCATCCTTGGAGGTGTTTGAGACCTGGGCAGACAAAGCCTTGGCTGGGATGATCTTGTTGGGGATGATCCTGTGTTGAGCAGGGGGTTGGACTAAATGACCTCCTGAGGTCCCTTCCAAACCTAATTTTCTTTGATTCTGTGTATTGCATGGGACAGAGCTGTTTCTAGCTCCAGTGTCAGGATTCCTTTTCTTCTGGAATAAGAAGAGGCAGGTCCTATGCCTGCTGCTACCTCAAGTTCTGTTTGACCAGAATATGTAACACAGCAATATGCCATGATGTTCCTGGTGAACTCAGGAATGTGGGGTGGGGGGGGGGGGGGGGTGTGTGTGTTCC